ACAGAAATCCTGAGAGAAAATGGCTCGGTATAAAATAGTATCACTTTGTTTTGGTATTAGTACGGTACGGATCGCGTGTCAAAAAAGTTATCGAGCTTGTGAGGTATTGATGCGTGGAATTTGTGATCGTCGCAGTGCTGGTGCTCATCTATGTGAAGGAATAATATTCAGACAATCTCTTTGTAATTTTTGAAGAAATGCACGAACAGTCCAAGTGGACTTTGTACGTGATGTGAATTCGTGATTTATACATTCAAAACGACGCGTGACCCGGTTTCGTTCTTTGATGTAATATTTTTTGTAGAAAAATTCTGGTAGCAATGTATTTAAATTTGCTATACTGCATTAAAAATCCAGTTGATGTTTCATTTGTGGCGATTTTCATACAAACGTTTGTCAATTATTTAATACTAACTTTAGCTGGCTTATCTATTTATCTACCTTGAAACTGTACATTTGGCACGCAATCTCGAGTTTGCCGATGTCGAGTTACTGTTGAGCGAAATCTTGACCAAAAAATGGTTGGATCTCAGCCTCAATTACAGCGTAATTTTGGCCCAAATGTGGCCTAATTTAGCTCGAACCGGATTACAGAAATATGCAGCGTGCAGACAGCGGTCATTATCGTGTTACCATTCAGCCAAAATGACAGCATAATTTGGGCCCAATTTTGGCCCAGTTTTTGCATCACTGGAGTCAAGTTAGGATTTGGGTTCTATTTTGGTTTATTTTGTGGCTCAAATATTTACGTTCCAGTGAGGCTCGTTTTGGTTTATCTTTGGTTGAACTTTTTAAGGCCCTATTTTGGTTTATTTCGGCCCGCGTTTGGCTGAAAATTATGGCCCAATTTACCTTCTGGCTAGAGCGTTAATTTTGGTACGAGAGGCTATTTACTTGCCGTAAACTTGCAAATTTATCCTGGAACTTCGTCACTTAAGCGTGCAAACAACATCCCGAAACTAACAGGCATAGATTATGTTGCAAAAAACTGGGCACTAGCCATGATGTTAAAGGCTTTGCCATTGATTCATTTCTGAAGCGTATTGTTGTTGAAAGAGCAAATGATGAACTCTGTTAGAAAAACGTTAAAAACGCTGGCCTGATCAGCGCAAAACCGATTGATTTCTAGCGAAATTTGCCTTGAAAGTAACCACAAAATCGGTCATTTTTTACTGATTGCTTTTTGGTGAAGTTTGCCCCGAAAACTCCCGCGCAATTTGACTTTTTCTTCTGCGACCTATCAGAAGCCCTGTTGTTAAGCAGCCACGCTGTGGAATGGGACAAGTGGCCAATTAAGAAGAGGTCACTTAAATTAAATGGAACGAAGATCATCGCAGTTTTATTAAGCCAACAGTATTCAAAGTAGGGCTGTACTAGACTCATACGTTTTTTATCTATCTGTACCCTTAAGCACTTACATGAAGGGGCGTGCCCTTTAATTAAGCCGTAAAACTCAGGATTAACAGGAATTATGTTGTTCCCGGGGTGTTTTCTCGCTGTTTCTCTATATAAAGTGGAATCCCGATTTCTCGAACCCTCGGTTTCCTGAACCTCCCGATATCTTAAACCAAACCTTGTTTCCCTCGGATTTGCTTCACTCAAGCTCTATAATTTCATTCCCAATTTCTCGAAACTCCCAATAACTCGAACCAGTTTCGAACCGAACCAATATTTCTCATTTCGTTTAATATAAAATTATAATTATTATATTTTTTCCTGCCTTTTCTTTCTCTTTTCCAACCCTCTGTTAACTTTAGTATATACTGTTTGTAAGTAATATAAATTAATATTTTATCTGTGCCTGACTCGCCTCAGTTAGTGTTGCGGCTATTTTGCGGGTCAGCACTATTGTACAAATATGTATGTGAAGTAAATAAAGGTTGTTTGTCTCATAATGTCACGTAATAGAGAAAAAAATGCTAGCTGTTCAATGTTCCTTTGAGCATCTGTATCTTCAAAATCACAATTTCGTGTGGCAAAATCTTTCCTATATGAGTTTAGTCTATGTGTAATAAACATGTTGTAATGGTTTTACCATAGAGTCTAAGGATCAATTTGTATAACCGTAAGGGGTACTCCGGGGTGTCCTGGGGTGTTCTTGGGCTGCCCGTTTCTCGAAAGGCCCGGTAACTTTTCAGGCCCGTTGGCAAATTTTAAAATCAAAACCTGCTGAATAGTAGCACACTTCCCAGCTCACAAACCGGTCAATTTTGCTTCGTTAACTGATAATTTCATTGTTAGCATTTTCAAAATTAAAACACGGCAAACATAAAACAGCTTTCCGGGCCCGAAAAGTTACTGGGACGTTCGACAAACGGGCCCCTGTTCCGGAGTTTATAGATACCCGTATTCAAATGCATGAACACACAGTTGATCAAACCAAATATCTTTGTTCCATTCCATCACCGAGGCAGCATCGAAACTTACCCGTTTATAAAAATAGAAGTCTCCTGTTTAAACTACAACAAGTTATTAAAGCTATCAAAAACATAAAACTGTTATAATATTTTAATAAAAGCACGCGTGAGGCAACAAAACAACCGACAGCGATTTATGTTTACTTTTGTATTTCATACATACATACATGCTTTATTTGATATAGCAGGTTGGATTAAAGAAAGCCGGAGGCTGATGTGGACCTGCTGTCTAGGGTAAAATGGAAAATTACAAAACATCTAATAGAATTATGAGGAAAAAAAAAAAGAAAACAAAAACAAAAGGAATACAGCTAAAACTATCTAGTGGGTATATTATTATTAAATTGGATAAAAATTACTTTGCTAAAAATATTCGAAGTCTTGATTCTTATGAGAGACCATACATGCTTCTTTCAGAAAGCTACAATTATTAATAAAGTTCTTATGATGACGTTGTTTTAAAAGGTTCTTTAAGTTCTTGAGGGAGGGGGACTGTTTGAGAGAGG